TCCCCCTGCTGCCCGCAACCCCCCCCTCCCCCTGTGCCTAAAGGCCGGCTACGTCGGCGCGGCCTTCATGTTCGGCCTCCGCCTGCTGCAGGGCCTCGCCCTCGGCCCAGAGGTCGCGAGCGCAGCCACCTTCCTGGCAGAGCGCTCCCAAAACCCGGGCCAGTCCCCCTGCCTCCTCGCGAGCCTGGTGCCTGCGGGCTCCGCCATGGGCGCCCTCGCCGCCTGCGGCGCCTGCCTGGCGGCGGCGTGGCCGCTGGACGGGGCCGCGCTGGCGGTGTGGGGGTGGCGGCTGCCGCTGGTGGGGGGGCTGGCGGTGAACGTGGCGGCGGCGGGGGCGCGGCTGGTGGTGCTGAGGGACCCGCAGGAGGGCATGAGCCTGGCGGAGGTGGAGGACCGGCACGCCGTCAACCTTGGGCGGCTGATCAGGTGTGTGTGTGTGTGTGTGTGCGTGTGTGTGTTTGTGTGTCGTGTGCGTGTTTGTGTGCGCGCGCATCCTGTGTGCATGGTGTGTGTGCGCGTGCATGCTGTGTGCAGGGTGTGTGTGTGCGCGCGCATGCTGTGTGCATGGTGTGTGTGCTCTGCGTGCTCTGCGTGCATGGTGTGTGTGTGTGCGTGTGTGTGTGTGTGTGTGTGTGTGTGTATTCTGACCATGGGGAGAACCACGGCATCAAATTGACCTGCACGTGTGCGGCAGGCGCCCGCCTGCCAGCATCCGTGCGCCCCGGCGGATCAATGAATACCTTGGATGAATAGACGAATGCGCCTTCCTGCAGAGCCGTGACCCCGAGCAAGGAAAGAGCCTGTGTTTGAGAACCCCCCAGTGCGATTTGTTCTAGTCCCAGCCCCCGCCTGAAGCCTCCCTACGACCCCGCGCACGCAGGTCCAGCTGGCGCCGCGTGCTCGCCGTCGCGGCGATGGGTACCTTCCCGGCGGCTTCCTTCTACCTCGTATGCGCCACCCTGCCCGCATACCTCTCTGACGTCACCGGGGTGGCCCCCCATGTGGCCTTGGGCGTCCATCTGGCGAACCTGTTTGTGCTGACCTTAGTCATCCCCCTCGGCGGCTGGATGGCCGACGGGGTCGGGCGCACGACAACCCTGCTGACGTCAGCGGCGGTCACCGGGGCGCTGGCGTACCCCGTCTGGATGCTGGTGGGGGTCGGGCTGCCCGCGGTGGCGTGGCTGGGGCAGCTGCTGCTGGTCGTTGGCTTTGGGCTGTTCCAGGGCGCGCTGGCGGAGAGCGCGGTCATGGCGCTGCCAAAGGGGGTGAGCGGCGGGCCCAAGGGTGTCTGCAGCTGCCGTCACGCTGTTTGCACGTGTGTGTGTGATGGGGAGGGGTGAGCTTGGGAGGGGGAAGGCGGATGTTTCGGGGGGCGTGCTTCTGCGAGGAGAGTGTGAGGGGCAAGGGGCATGGGTTTGATTGGGGAGGGGTGGCTGCTGGAGCTCTCAAAATGACACGCGCACTGCTTGCCAAGCGATACCCGACGCCTGCAGTGCTCGGATGTGAGTCACGACCTCCGCCCTGGCCCCGGCCGCACGCACGATAAACAGATGAGGGCCACGGGCCTGAACCTCGCGGACGCCTTGGCCTCCGCCCTCGGCGGCGGCCTCGCCCCGCTGGCCGGCGTGGCGCTGGTCGCGGCGACTGCGGACGACGCGTCGCCGGCCTACGTGATGATCGGCGCCGCGGCGCTCAGCGCGGCGGCGTGCTGGGCGGTGCGGCGGACGGACCTCTTCTGAGAGCGGCGGTGGGAGCGCAGCGGCGGCCGCCACGGCGGGCTGCCTAGGGCTGCTGACGGTGGAACGAGAGGGCGGCGGGAGGCCGCCCGCACGCCTCGGCGCGCTGTGTCGCGGGCGGCCTGGCGGCGGCGGAGGGTCTGTCATCTGCGCTTGCGCCGCCCCCAGGGCGCGGCTGGGAAAGAGCGCATGAGATTATTTTGCCGGTCGTCTGGTTGAAATGACTCGCGCATCCGCAGTATTGAATAGAGGGAAACGGGGTAGGCACCACCCACCCGAGAGTTCGGTGCAGGCGCACACGCCAGGTGTCACGAGCGGCCGCCTTGCTCTGCGGGTTGAAGAGCTGCGTCCCCATTCGGACTACCCGCCCCCAAGCTATGCCTGTATGCATGTATGCGCCTGCGTCTCATCACCGCGCGACGGCAGGCGTGGCCCCTTACCGAAAGCGCGATGTGGTGTTTTCGGCAGGGCGGCCCTCTCACGCGCTTTTCGCGGTCGATCCTGTGACTAATGCTTTTGTCATGAGACCAGCTCCTAATGCCACCAATGAGACGGCCTGACTGACTGCCCTGATGTCCGCTGGTTTGCCGGCTTTACAGGGGACATGCTTTCATCACAACAGGCCGTCTTTTAGAAAATGATTAACATTGCTCGCACACGCACTTGGTATTTGTGCACCAGGTAACACACCATGGGTAATCCTTGACGGTATGCAAGATGCAAGCAATTCAGCATCTTCCTTGATTCAGGAACAAGCTGACTGCGTCGAGCCCCCAGGGACCCACGCTGCACCCAGGAAGCAGCTGGGGTGCTTTCCCACACTTGACCGCCACAAAACGAGCCCAGCGCCCACACCCATCGATTCACGCCATCAAATACCGAGTTCAGCTACAGCACCGAATTCATTTGACCCAGCGCCGCCCCCGCCGCCGACGGCCTCTCAGAGTGCCGCCAGCACCTCTTCGCACTGCTGGCCCGGCCCTATCCCGTTCGCTGCCGCATTCGCCCCCGCTGCGCCAGCCCCGCTCGCCGCCGCCGCCGACGACGACGCCGCCGCCGCCGACGCCGCTGCGTCGGCGGCCCGCAGCTCGTCCGCGGCCGGCGAGGCCAGGAACGCGCCCACCTTCCTGGCAGCTTCCACCAGGACGTCTTCCGGCTGCACCAGCGCGAAGCGGACGAACCCGGCGCCGCCGGGGCCGAAGCCGCTACCGGGGCTGACGGCAACCTTGGTGGCGGCCACCAGCGCCAGGCAGAACGCGGTGTCGTCCGAGAAGCCGTCGGGAAGCCGCGTCCACACGTACATGCCTGCGGAAGGTGGGGGGTTGGGGGGCGGCGGATGAGGCGGTGGGTTGCATGGCGCCTTCCGGGTGGCGTTTGTGACCAGGCGGACACCGCGAGGCGGCGGCGTGTGGCGCATTGTAGGTGACGCGGCATCAGCTTGCACCCATCAATGGCCAGCAGGTAACCAGCCAGCAGCTCCAATGCAGGCAGCGCCCGCGGCTGCACCAGACATGAGCAGCTATAGCCTGCCAGCAGCACTCGTGTGCTTGCCGCGGCTTGCTCCCTCCTTCGCGTGACAAGCGAGCTGCTCACATGCTTTCGGCATCTCCGTCGCCCATCCGGCGTGCTCCCGCAGCGCCGCCGTCAGCGCAGCTGCGCGAGAGCAAAACATGCGCGTGTACACCTGCAACCGCTCCTGCGGCAGGCGCAGGCAGGCGATACCCATTTGCTGAATGCCCAGGAACCTGCGAGCAGGTTGGTGATGTGAAGGGGGGGATCGTCGCACTTGACGCGTTGCGCGCGATTGGGCAGAGCTTTGGGCTGGCGGGTGATGGGTGGTCCCGTCGACGCCACCAGGAACGACGTTTCGACCGCCCGCCCCTCCTCCACCCCTAAAATAAGCGGCCACCGGTGTGCGAGCGCCCCGAGGCTGCCTCCAAAACACACATTGTCAAGTCAGGGCTGGCTGCCTCGGCAGCAACGGTTTTGTACTGGGATGCTGATACACACAATGAAAACAATTCTGAAAACGCGGGAGCACAGCCAGGGCCTCACTGGTTGAAGTCGATGGGGGCCTTCACGGCCTCGAGCGCCGCGATGGCGTCCGCGTTGCCCAGCGCAAACCCCAGCCGGCAGCCGCCCTGCGAGGTGGCGGCGGGGCGGCGGCAAGTGGGGTGGAGCAGGACCGAGGCCTATGGGCTAGCGGGGCACCCTCAGGGCAGAGGTGAAGGGGCGGTGCAGGTGCAGCGCTGAGGAGTCCGCCCCTCGGTTGCAGGGTCCAGTACACTAGACTGTTTTGCAGCTCTGCGCGCGCTGACCCAAGCACGGGTCCCGCCATCTCAACGACCCTCCAGTGCCGTTTGACATGCCCGCGGCTCCCACAACCCGCTGGATCACGGCGCAAGCCCAAACCCATGCCCCAGCGCTCACACAGCCCACACACCCCAGCAATCCTACCCAACACCGCCGCCGCACCCTGGACCGCACCCCAGGAGCCCTTGCACGCCACCCCCGGCCCCCCAAACTCGCACTCATGACTTGCACCTTGCACCCCGGCCACGTCCCCCTGCAACCCGAGCCGGCCCCACCATTTGGTACGACTTGGCGAATGAGAAGAGCTCCACGGTGCGCGCCTTGGCGCCTGGCAGCGACAGCGGGGAGGCTGCGAGGCCGTCACCAGAGTAGACCTGGGCTACATAGGGGTTGTCGTTTATGAGCCTGGGGGGTGGGCAACAGGTGCGTGTGTGTGTGTGTGTGTGTGTGTGTGTGTGTGTGTGTGAGTGGGTACATGCATGAATGAGTGAGTGATGGGTGTGTGCAAGGGTGTGTGTGCTCTTGCGTGTGTGTGCGTGTGTGCATGCTTATCAGAGATTGCTGATTGCAGCGTACACAAAAGGACCCGCAGTATCATGACATGGATCCGCGGTGTTCCAAGCCCCAGTTGCTAGATTACGCGCCCCTAGGCGGATGTAACTGCCCACGCCCTACAATGTGTCGCCTATAGATGCGCGCTGCGCGAAATCCGAGCCGCAAAAGACAGGGGGTTTGAAAGTGCCCCGATGCAGGGAAGATGGGCTCTGGGTGCTCGAGAGCAGGACAAGCAACGCGGCCTCAGCTTCATGAGCACTCACAGGAGGTCGTGCTCCTCACAAAACGCGAGCGCCTCCGCCCAGAACCCGTAATCCGCCACCGCAGACGTCGGGTTGTTCGGGTAGTTGAGCAGCAGCGCCTTGCAGGACCGCGCGGCCGCCGCCGACTCGGCGGCGGCAAGGTCGGGCAGGAAGCTGCCATCCCGCCGGAGCGGCAGGAAGCGGGGCGCCACGCCCGCCACGTGGGCGGCGGGGAGGTAGCACGCGTAGCTGCCGAGGGGCGGTTTTGGAGTTGATGGGTCGGAGCAAGGGGGTTTAAATGCATGCTCACAGCGGTTGCTTCTCGCTATCAGTTGAATGCAATGCTGCAGGGTCCCAGCGCTCTATCATCCGGCACAAAGAGTTGGAAGAGTGAGCGGCGGCAGACGGCTGCAGCAGCTCTGCCGGGCCCGCCGCTCGTCCCCTGCTTCTCGCGCGGCACGCCGCGGCCGGAAACTCTATCACCCTGCCTTCCGCCACGCCGCACCCCTGACCCCTGAACTTCCTCCCAAGGACCCCTCCTGCATGCATCAGGTACCCTCACCCCCTCGCGCCCCTGGAACATCCCCTCACCCGACGTCGCACATCAGGACGCCATCCCCCGGGTCTGCCACCGCCATCAGGAGGTGGGCCAGCCCCTCTTGGCTGCCAACCAGCGACAGCGCCTCAGTGGCAGGGTCAAGGTCCACGAGGCCGTAGTGCCGGGTGTACCATGCCACAGCCTCTGTCAGCAGCGGCATGGTGCCGTGCCGCAGGCAGTACTTGTAGGCGGATGGGTCCTCGATGGCGGCCTGAGGCCGGGGGCGCGCGGTGGGTGGGGAGAGTGGGTGCGGCGGGCGCCGTGTGCGGCAGCGGGCGCGTTCGGGCCGATGCAGATTGCAGCGTGCACATGCGGTCTCGGCGTCGAGTGAGGTGGCGTGCGTGTGTGTGTGGTTGTGGATGAGTGGAAGGAGGGGCCGGCAGCTTTTGGATGGTAACGGCCCGACGGCTGCAGCGCAGCGCCGGGCCCCGCGGCGCGGACGTGGCGCGCAGGGGAGGGGGCTGGTGTGGTGGAGGAGGGCCGCAGCCTGGCACCGCAGCCGCGCTCTGGCGGCTGCCTCGGTGTCAAATTGCTGGCTTCTCGCACACGAGAGAGGCGGCGGCCCGCGCGCGTGCGTGCAGAGTGACCAGACGCGGCTGCGCCGGATTTGCGGCAATGCCTGTGTACCGGGTCAACAATCAGTGCTGGGGGTGCCAAAGGCCCTCACCCTGAGAGCATCGAGGGCCTCTGCTGGAGGGGGCATGTCTGGGGTGCCAACCGACAGGTCCACCACCTGCCACGGGGTGGTTTTATTGGCGGTTAAGGGGCAGATTGGTGGAGGAGGGGGCCGTCATGTTGCTAGCCACCGGCGAGGGTGTGGTGGCTGTGGCGTGCGGCAGGCGTAAAAATCATAGGACCAGGGATACAGTGCAACAGGTTGCTGCCATCCACCTCTGCATTGTTTTCCTCAGCACTGTCATCGGCTTCCCCGTTGCAAGGGCGGCGGCGCAAGCATGCGGGCGAGCGCGCTTCGTCACTCCGGCCCCGGCGCGCCTCACCGGGTCGCCAGCCTCTGCCGAGGCGGCCGCCTTTGCCTCGCTCATGAGGGTGAACACCCCCATGCTGCCTGGTGTGCGCTTCGAGTGAAATCGGCGCGTCATTGCTGCCGCTTCTGCTGCCGCGTCTACTGCTGCTGCTGGTTCTGCTGATACTGATGCTGCTGCTGATCCTGCTGCTGCCTCTGCTGCTGCTGCTATTGCCGCCGCCGCGCAGTTGGCCAACGCCCACAGAGAAGCAGCAAGAAGCAGCGCAGCGGCAGCGATGAGTGCGATACAGGGGATGCGACGGCCGAGGCGAGAGGGCTGGCGCAGCTGTGTTGCTATGCAGTCGATGTACAGAATCAATTGCGCTGGACGGCTGTGATTCTGCAGCCGCTCCAGGCGAGTTGCAAAATGCACAGCGCACGAAGCGCACGGAGCGTCGGCAAGCGCGAACAAAAAGGGCTTGCAAAACATGTGCCGTTTCAAATGCGCATCACGTCACCAAGCCGCACGCACCCCATCCCGTCCAGTTCCACTTGACAGTCTTGACGATCGCTTGACCACCCGCGGCCTGACTCACCCTTCGCGACGTGGTGCCCACCGCTTGGTGATTGTTCCCAAAGACAACGCAAAAACATGTCAGGGAGGCACAGGGGAGCCGACACTGCGCGCAGAGCCTGCTGCGCGACCCCCACAGCAGGTTGTTCTGCTCTGGTTGTTCTGCCGAACAACGGCTGTAGAGCTGGCGGGCCGCGGCGGCTGCCCCCAGCACCCGCCTGACCACGGCCTGCAGCGCATCCGGCAGGGCGTGCGAGCTGGTTCGCATCGACTTCGGTGCAGCTCCAGCAGGGCGCCGCCCTGCCTGAAGGCTTTCCCACCCGCTTGCCTTTCCGTCTGCCTTGCCTCCTGCTCCTCCCCCCCCCCCCCC